CCGAGGGGCCACCATGGCTCTTATATAGTGCCCCTTTCCCGCGCGATCAAGGTGGCCGATGACCACCCATGCTCTTGACCTACCATCCACACCAACGCGTTGTTAAGCTGTGTTAGTTCAACAAGAAATACTGTGAGGTAGCGACTTCGCTACACTCCGGCCGGCGCGTCTTGTTCGTATTTCGCGCGGTTGATTTCCACTTTGATGGCCCTGATTTTTTTCGTGATACGATCCTTCGAATCAGGTACTCTACAAAGAGCCCTATGGTGCTTCTGCTTGCTGATCAGGAAGTCTAGGGCCGTATCCATGATAACATCGCAATACCAGCATGATTTTTCCTCAGTTCTGCAATCGTCAGGACCGTGGTTCTTTCCGAGGCATAGTCGGCAACGTCTTTCCCTCTGTATGAACCGGTAGCGCTCGTCACCATCAGTGATCAATGAGCAGGAATCTGAATAGTGGCGCCCGTAAATGCCACAGAAGGCACATTTCATGTGCTCAGGGACAGTTTCAGGTCCGTCTCCTATTTTTCTGTGAGGTAGTAGAGTGCGCCCCTGATAAAGTTGGTCCAGCTCGTTTTCTAAGTCTTCAATGTATTCCTGGCGCTCCCTACGCCGGCTTTCTTCTTCTTTTTGGCGACGTTCGTCATATTCGTCGTGGTCGTCGTGGTTCTCCTCAATTAGCTTCTCCATGTAATCGTCGTCCGACAGCAGTTGAACTTTGCGTGGAGTTGGATCTCTAGGATCATTCTCAGAAGAACGTCGTCTTTTGTCATGACTGTTCCGAGGTTGATTTTCCTTCATCTTGGCTATAGCGTCAACGATCGTTTTTTCAACTTTCTCCATTGCAGTGTTGAATGTGCTGATGAAGTTTGGAGTGTTTTCGGTTTTTTCTGCAAGTACTTTCTTTTCTGCAATATTGATCTCTTCTTCGATGTCAGCAATGTGTCGGTCCAATATCTTCAGTTCGTATGCCACTTTCGAGGATAGTTGATTGGTATCATGTTCCTTATCTTCGTACCATTCCTCTTTTCTTTTTTCTGAAACACGGCCGGTCTCGGTTGCCATGCGGAATATCGAGTTTACCAGCATGTAACGCTGTGTGTACCACGAGATCTTTTCCTTTGCATATACTGCAGTCCTCAGTAAGCGACTCGCATACAGCATGAGTTCTCCTCCACTTAGTTGTTTTTCAGTCGTGGATAGGAGATGGTGAGTGAGCTGCGAATCCAGTGTTCGGGCCATTTTCAGGTG